AGTGAATAGCACACGCTGGTGAGTCCACGTTGGCTAACATTCATATGTGCGTGTCCGTTCGTAGCGTCCATGCTCACTCAAGCATGGTTATCCCGCTGCAGTGTTGGCCACAGTTCAGGATCAACGCGTTGAGCCCCATGTTCAGAATGGCGCTCTCGCCCCCAGCGAGGGCAAGAATTTTTGAGTCGATTCCTCGTCTTCGCCGTCCCCCCCCGTTCCCCTTCTCCGTCATTGCATTGCCATCTTGCGCCTCCTGTTGCTACTGATACTACTACTACTACTACTACTACTACTACTACTACTACTACTACTACTACTACTACTACTACTACTACTACTACTACTACTACTACTACTACTACTACTACTACTACTACTACTACTCTTGACACTGCTGCTGATCCTCCTCCCGCTCCGCCTTCATCTTTATCATACTCCTCCATCTCCCCCAGCCCAGTGGCCACCTCCTCCTCCAGCGTACAAAGCCCCCTATCCCCCACCCTCGTCTGTTTGTGCATCACACGATCGGGTCAGTTGATCGATTCAGGTCCTCGCTGGCGCCCCCGTCGGATGGACACACGATGGGCTGCGCAATGGAAGATGATTCATGGGAGACATCTCATGTCTGATATGCCACGAGCGCAGCTACAGTGGAAACCCATGCCAAGAGACACCTTGCTTGCCTCCAGGGTGCCCTGGGTTTCTTGGATGTCGATGGTTGTGCTGTAGAAAACGTGACGTCCCCACACCACACATCAATGGACATCTTGGGGTCTCAGGGTTGGGTTTCTTGTGGAATGGTTCTTGTTTGTGGTCGAGCTCCCACTGTAGCTGGTCCCCCCCCTCGTCCCTCTCCTCCCTCGCCCGCCCTCCGCCTTCCTCCTCTTCCCCTCGGGTCTCCGCCTCTTGCGTCCTCGTTTCCGTCCCCCTCCCCCCTCCTCCCCCCTTCGGCTCTCTGTCCCCCCTCCTGCTCCTCCACAATTACTCAATATGAGTACTACTCTCCCTCTTCCCCTAATGACGGCCTGGGAGTGTCCGACCCCCCCCCGCGTACCGTTTTTTACACACAGGTTTCCCCGGAGTTGGGTTTTCGCCTGCATTTTTTTCTCAAAATGCTGCTCTCGCTGAGGCGCCGGCCTCATTTTCGGGCCCCGCTCGTTCCGAATCGTGCTCCCGCTGCAGCGCTGGCCTCATTCCCGTGCTTCCGCTCGTTCCGAATCGTGCTCCCGCTGCAGCGCTGGCCTCATTTCCGCGCTTCCGCTCGTTTCGACTCGTGCTCCCGCTGCAGCGCTGGCGTCATTTCCCGTGCCATGCCACGGCGTGCAATGCAATGCTAGGTTGATGCTACGCTTTGCGGTGCTCTTCTACGCCATGCCATGCCGTGCTCTACAATGCATCGCGTACCCTTTCGGGATCAGTGCCCTGCTCGACATCCGACTGTGCGAGTAGAGAGGGGATCTGCGCCATGGTAAGGGATGGGAGGGAGGGGTAGGTTGTCAGATCTGACGCGAGCGCACCTAGCTTGTCCCCCCCCCCCCCCTCCTCCTCCTCCTCCTCCTCCTCCTCCTCCTCCTCCTCCTCCTTCTCCTCCTCCTCCTCCTCCTCCTCCTCCTCCTCCTCCTCCTCCTCCTCCTCTTTTTCCTCCTTCGGCTCGCCTGGCAGAGACACGATACCGCAGGCAAAGCATGATGGAATGGACACCTATCCCTCCACTCCCCTCGCTCGGGCTCCTACCCTTGCCGCTGACGGCCCAGCATCCTGGCCTGGCGGTTCCTGTCCGACACCCTGGTGGTCTCGGCGCCGAAGTGCGGGGACAAGCACGGCCAGTGGAGGGTCCCGGGCAACAGCGGCGTCATGATGCGGTGGCCCCCTTCGTCGTCGTCGCACTCGGACTCGTCGTCGCCGTACTCATACAGGCGCGGAGGCGGCCTCCGCTGGAGCCCAGAGGAGGAGGCGAGGAGATGGCCCGCGAGGCGGGGCGGCAGCGTGCCGATGGGGCGCAGGCGGCAAACGCAGGGCTCTTTTCGATTCCTCCGACCCGATTAGATTCGACTTCGGTGGCTTCCGATTCCGATTCGATTCGACTTCGGATTTCGAATTGGATGCCGACTCGTCCATGGAGGCCTACTAGCCTGCCGATTTCCGCCGATTCGACTTCTCCCGACCTGGCTGCCGATTTCCGCCGATCCGACTCATTTCGATCGCCGATCCGACTTACCGATTCGATTCTGGGCTCTCCTGAGGAAACGTCGTACTCGTACACGCGGGTCGTTGAAAGTAGGTTTTTGGGCACTCACAGGTGCCAATCTTTTTCAAGCGCCTTCCTTTATCCAAGGATCGATGTGTTTTTGCTGCATGCTGTCATTCTCTGGGAGGGGCTGGACCCGATCTACTTCATCCGCCTTCCTACTTCGTTGTTTTACCTATTTCTTTCGACCGACGTGTATTTCGTTGTCCTTCTGGGCGTCCGAAGATGAGCTCGCGGCCCGCCTGCAGCTCCGAGGTGTTGTGCTGGCCCTTTGTCCACAGGATGCGGACACCGCTCTGTCGAGGTCTTCGGTCGAGGAAGGCCCTCAGGATTCGTACGACTCGGGCTAGGCTCGGAGGACTGTGATTTTAGCGATCCTGCTGTTGTTGTCGCGTCGACTGCACAGTGGCGCGCCTTCATTCAGGAGGGAAAGAAGCACACAAACACAATTAATCGTCGACCACAAGGAAAATGTCGGAAATATGGGAAGGGGGGGAAGACGAAAACTTAGAAAATAAGTGGACATATGGGGAATCCTGGGATTTGTGTGTATTCAGTTGTGTGTCCCTGGGCTTCTTTATTCATGTAATCCGATCGAATCATCATTCCTCTCCTGCCCCTCCTTTCTGTGCCTCTCCTGCAAGGGACGTCCTGGACTTCTGTGCGCGGACCGCTCGCTTCCCCTCTCTGAGCTCGGCCGGCACTGCGAGGGAGATGCCTGGCGCCGCGACGACCCCCGTGGAGGCCGCTCAGCCGGCCAGCTCGGTTGGGGCGGTCTTGGGGGGCCCCTTGGGCCGTCTTTCGGGAGACTCTCCATGGGGGGGGATCCCATGGGAGGGCAGGAGGGGATCCCCCCCATGGGATCCCCTCCTGCCCCCCCATGGGATCCCCAGGGGATCCTATGGGATCCCCCCCCTGGGATCCTATCTCTCCATGGGATCCCCCCCATGAAGAGTCTCCCGAGTCTTGGGGGTTCTGGACGCCGACAAGGTGGAAACGCCACAATCTGTCCAAAACCTTTTTGAAAAAGCAAGGGATTTTAGTCCTCTTGGGGCCCTCCTGGAGCCGCTCGGGGGCCTCTTGGGGGGGCGGCCGGCGCGGCGCGCGCGCGCGGCTGGCCAGTGCCACAGCGCTGTCACAGGGGCCTTGTCGGTGGGCGTCGCGACGCACCCAGGGTGGTACCCAGGGGTCAAGCCCTGGTGCGGGCTTGTGGCATTTCAGAGTGAGGGGGCCGAACGGTCATTCATTGTCCCTGGGTGCGTGGCTCAATAGGGAACTCGTGGTGAGAATTCTGCCTGTTGCCTTGTTGTTGTTGTTGTTGTTGTTGCTGTTGTTGTTTTTGCTGTTGTTGTTTGTTGTTGTTGTTGTTGTTGTTGTTGTTGTTGTTGTTGTTGTTGTTGTTGTTGTTGTTGTTGTTGTTGTTAATGGTGTTAATATTGTTAATATTGTTGTTGTTGTTGTTGTTGTTGTTGTTGTTGTTGTTGTTGTTGTTGTTGTTGTTGTTGTTGTTGTTGTTGTTTTGTTGTTGTTGTTGTTGTTGTTGTTGTTGTTGTTGTTGTTGTTGTTGTTGTTGTTGTTCTTCGTAAGGACGTTACCTGGAGGTGATGAGATGAGAGCGGTCGCGAAGCGAGTCTATATAAATTAGGCCCTGGCCGCACGCTCAGCTTTGCTGAGCACTTTAGGCGCAAGATCTCTCTCTAAACGACGGAGATACTCCTTGCCAGTGGAAGTGATGAGCTGACATGGGCCAGCCAACTTCTTGCTCAACCTAGCTTGGCCTGTGGTCCCACAGTTGCCACAAAACCAAAGAGACTGAGATTGATGATATCTCATCTTGTGGGAACCATGGACCGTACCCCCAGCGAAATATAAAGTCCGACCAGCAGGCAAATTAGAAATCTTGTCTGTCGTTACTTCTAACGGGAAACAAGGAGTGGCCAACCAGGACCTTAAAGTGGCCTCAGTGGCGGAACCCTTACAAATCTGGCATTTTTTTCCAGTGCTATCTACCTGATGCGACGAACACAGAAGAGCCTGACCCCGAGGTCGAGGTGGCGGAATGGCAGGAGCCTTTGGGCGCGCCCTCTTGGCCGTGCCTATAGCTGTCTGAAGGGCAATTCGCAACAAACGCATGCGAACAAGCCGAGCATCGTTCTCACCCCGCAGCACCTGTGCCCTCTGGCACTCAGGGAGGCGGGCCTCGGCGGCAGCGATACCAGCCAAGGTGTCCACATACACATTGCCAGCAATCATCCAGGACGGAATCCCGAGCTCGACGATACACTGGGCCTCCACATGTGAAGGGACTTTCAAGACAACTATCTCACTGCAAGGCCTATGAACAAGATGCTTCTTAATAGCCCTCCAGATGTCGGCATTGGCGCCAACAGGTTTTTCATACGCTCGCGCCCACCACCCCCGACACACCTCCTCATTGTCCGTCACATATATTGTTGGTCCCGAGGACCCACGGATAGAGACTTCCAACATATACAGCTCCCCTCGCGCAACCGTCTGTCGGTCACCAGGAAGAGGGCCCAACAAGTATGGAAGCTCATCATTCACATCTAATGAGAACGCTCCAGCAGCCAACCCAACTCGACGAAGTCGTGGATCGTGTGTGTCTGCGCCTCCAGATGCATCACCACACAGAACTAATGGATTGTCCATTGTCCCAGAGCCGAAAGAGAATGTGTCAGCTTGGTCGTGCCCCAAGCCTTTCCATCTCTCCACATGTGTCGGCTCATCAACTCGTGTCCATTCCGCAGGTATCAGCCCACGGAACCAAAATCATTCTGCTAAATTGGCCTGGGTCACTGCACGGTGGCTCAGGTCTTGAGTCATGTCGAAAATGGGTGAGCCTTCATTGCATGAGCACTGCCAATATCGATGTAAGGGGGTCTCCTCAACCTGATCTGGACATCTCTCACACAGGCCCGAACATTCATATCCTCCTTCCTTGCGCCGTGACTCCGTCCAGACACCACCGACAGCGATGACCAGGAGCATCTCAGCCAACCGTCGTCCTTGAGGGAGGGCCCCAAGTTGGGTCAGCTGCTTCCTCAAACTGTAGTTGTCCAAGCCGCCCTCTATTCCACCTCCGCAGAACGTGCGGGAGGCCTCGGACCAGAGTTGGCGTCTGAACGTATCTGGAAAATCATTGAGCAGGTCGGTGGCCTCCGCAACTGACTCGAGCTGGCTAGCGTCGAACTTCCATCCTGGGATGACGCCTGCTGGGTCTGCCCGATATGCTGGAAGATACCACTCTGATGGGCCATGTGGGTCCCACCCTGCTTGCATAAGATAATGTACGAGACCAGAAACAGGGCCTCGAACATGCCTTGCTCGATGCTGCGGTTCGGTGCCTTTGACATGATCAACGATGCAAACTCGCGCAACTGGGGCATGAATACGTGGCTCCTCAATCCACGTGCGAAGCCACTGTTCCAGAAACTGCCTGGGGAGCTGGTACCCAGGGTCCTTCATGGGAGTTCTGAGGTCGAGCAGTGTCGTGAGGTCGCGACCGTGCTTGTGCCCTCCAGCAACAGCCCCAAGACGCCGACGTAGTTCCAAGACCGAGGACTTGGGGAGCCCATGGACCTGGTGCCCATAGTGGGCGGCCATCTGGGGTCCACCCAACTCGATTTTCTTAAGAATGCGGAATCTCCTGGATGCCTTCGCGTCGCGTTTGATATTGAGATGCTGAACCTTGGAATTCTTCATCCTCGTACTCCGTGTCTGCCGAGCCATACGTTTACCGTTGCCCAGATCAACACCGAGGTACGTCGTTTGCCGTCCCCATTGTACATCAACACCTCGCCGTCGTAGGCGCTTGGCTATGGCCTTAGCGTCCTCCACACTCGTGCACGTGATGATACTCTTGGGGGCCAACCGTAACGCCTGTCGTTCAAGCTGAACCTGAGTGGCCACCACCCCCTCCTCCAGCACTTCCGCAACGTGCCGCCGCGAACCGATGGCGACCTGCGATAGGTCGTCCACCCAGAGGCGCTCGGAGAGGTGAGGGTGGCATGTGGTCAGCTTGGTCATGACGGCGTTAGTCATGCACTTGGCGAAACGTGTCCCACTACGCAATCCTTGAATGATGGATCGTGTAGCCTGGAAAGGCGCCGAAACCGTGTTAGCTTGTGCCAGCAACCGTGGGCCAGCACAAACTTGCAACTCCAAACACAAAGTGGTGGCTGGGAAATTGCACTCTAAAGCTCGATCAACTAAAATACTCCATTCAGGACGTTACCTGGAGGCCCCGGGGAAGGGGAGGGAAACGGGAAACGTGGGGCCCCTGCGGGGCCCCACGTTTCCCGTTTCTCGTTCGGGTTCGGTGGGGCTCCTTGTGGGGCCAGAGCCACGATCTTCGAGAGGGTGTGCCGACATGAACCCTCGGTGGGGCTCCCTGTGGGGCCAGGGCCACGATCCTCGAGAGGGGTGTGCCGAAATGAGGGCTCGGTGGGGCTCCCTGTGGGGCCAGGGCCACGATCCTCGGGAGGGGTGTGCCGAAATGAAGCCTCGGTGGGGCTCCCTGTGGGACCACGGCCACGATCCTCGAGAGGGGTGTGCCGAAATGGAAGCTCGGTGGGACTCCCTGTGGGGCCAGGG